GTTTTCATTGATTTTCGAAGTTGGAATAAAAAGCCAGAAGAGACTGGGTCGTGCAGGGACCTGTAGTGAAAGGAGACGTCTTTTCTTTCCTACAGTACCTGCTGAGCGGGAGGCTCTTCCTGCAGTGCTCTCCCTGGTGAGCTGCAGAGCCGGGCCGTCCTCTGAAGAGGCAGCGGGCCTGGGCCTGGGCTGTGGGCCGTCCTGGTCCTGCTGGAATGTGCTCAGGGCACAAGGCTTCAGTCTTGGCAGGGCTCTGACAGCACGCTGCCCCTTCTGCCTTCATACCAGTTTCCCTGCTGCGCTCTTCCAGGGCCCGTCTCTCCATAGCAAAACATGCATTTTCATCAAGTCAGGGAAAAGAATCGACCGAAGGGCTGACATGAACACACGGCAGGGGAGAACACGTGTGCCAGCCTCCTCAGATTTCTTTGAGATTTTGTACATGGCAAGCCAGAAGGATCCAGACAACCTCTGGCCACGGACAACACACCACCATAAACGTGATCACAGCAAAGAAAGTGAAGATCACTATCTAGCAATGCAATTAATGCAATCTGTGGCCTTGCTCTGTTTCTCCGATGCACCACTTGAACTTGCTGCTGCTTTGAGGAGAGATGCAGACAATTGAAAGCCTCTCTCGTGACTGAGCTTGCCTTCATCATCTTCCCCTATGCCCACTGCGCAGGAGCCCAAACTCAGAGCTCTGTGACAAGCCCTTTTCCAAGTCCCCCCTCCCTCCCCGTTGGGGCAGTCGTGCCCGGGGGCCAGCGCAGGTGCCAGTGAAACACCACGGAGCCCAGCGGGTGAGCTCTGCAGGGCGCCAGCCTGCCAGGGTTGGGCTGGCTGAGGGCCTCTGTCGCCTCACCAGCTCCGGCACGCTCCCAGACCCCCGGCCGGCCTGGCAGCGCTCCGGCCGGAGGAAATCAATAGGAACAGGATCAGTACGGGGAAAATAAAACCCGCCGACGCAGCGAGCCTTCGTCAGCTGCTCTCTCCCTCACCTCCCCTGAGTCAAGGAGCCACTGCTAGGTTGTGTCAAGGCAAAAGATGAGCTAACGGGCAGCACAGGGCGCAGGGCTGGCCATGGCAGTCTGATACTGCTGCTCCACTTCAGCCACATGCAATCAGGCTCAGACAGTCAGCATCCAGAGCTGGCGAGCTGGTTGCTGCAGGACATTTCGCTGGGAATAGAAGGGCCCGTTTCGCGAGGCTCCAGCTGCCCCACATGGAGTCGGATTTGCAGGGTTGAAAAAGGATCCTGGGTTATTTAAGGGGAATCAAAGAACAAGTTCAAAAGTTTAATGTGTCATTTTTTTAAAGAAAGGAATTATGTGATGGGCCAAAACTCTCATTTGCACAATGATCGCCGCTAAGAGCAAGGCTGTTTCTTGTACAGGAAAACTCCTCGTTGTTTTTTTAAACCTTAACTCAAAAACCTACTGTGTCATGTTACAGGACACTGACTGGGGTATTATTAATAAATAGCATTGTTGTTTTGCATTAGTGCTTGTCTTCTGTACATGATCTGTACATGCAATAATATCATATCATTTTGTTTTGGATACAATAAAAATGAAATCAAGAGTAGAATCAAAAGGATACAGTATTATTATTAAAAGTGTACTTCCTGGGAAAAAAATATAGTTTCCAGCAAACACCAAAGGGGAAGACATACCATATTTAAAATCCAGGAGATTTACCAAATAGACTAGAACTTCAAACAGCTCAGAAATCAGGAAGGAGAGAAACAGACAGGAATTATGTAAAGGAACTATGAAAAGTTTACTCCATGCTGAAAAGAAACACAACATTTCAGCTGTGGAGTCTTCTTCTGGTGAAGAATAAGGCTCCACGGCCGAAACATTGTGTTTCTTTGCTTCTCTTTTCAGCAGGGAATAAACCTGGACTTGTTCCTTTGCAGCCTACACCTGCTAACGTAGCTCCCTACTTGAACTACATTATGTATACGTAATTTAGGTTGTTTGGAATATTGAGCCAAACCATGAGGAAGAAACTGATATACTAGTATCCTAGAAACAGTGTAATAAGGCTCCTGGGACAGTGAGCGAAACAGAAGCAAGATTTCTCAGGAACTGCAACATGAAACCTTACCAAGCAGCATCAATCTGCAAAAAATAACTTAAAAGTATGCACTGCACTTAAAATAACAGGCATCTGGAGCCATGAGAACATGTTCCTTCCACTTTAAAATCTGTACAATGGCAGACCCTGCGCTCTGACCCCAAGCTTCTCTCCCTGTCTGTGTGTCTGTGTCTCCATGGAGAAAAGCTGGGGTATGCGAAAAGACGAATTCCTAATGCAAGAAATTGTATAGGGCTAATAAAGAAACATTATTATTATTATTATTATTAAAATGGGTACTATGAAAACCGCACTATTTCTTGTGTTTGTCAGTGGCATCACATGGATTGGGGATCTCAGGTATGCTGCAGAGCAGACTGATGAACTGGGGTGTTAATTGCTGTGTCTGTCTCATTACCCTCCTCTGGAGTTCCAGGGTTTCTAGGACTGGGATGGAAATGCTTTAGTTTATCCAAGCACAGATGTTCCTTCAGGGGGTGGTTTGTGTTCACTGTGGTTTGTTTCCTGAACACTGGCCTAAAAAGGTGTCAACCATACCATTGCCACTAGTTTCCACTTCACAGATCCCTTACAATTTCAACACTGGTATAATGACACTCCTTGCATGTCATCAGTTCTGAAAACTGGTTTTAATTTTTTCTGCCACACAGTCATGTTGTTTCCCAAGCAAAAAGACAGCTAAAAAGACAGGTGAACAGCTAACAGATAACACATATTAATATTAAATATTATTACAAGCTAACTAAAGAAAAATAATACAACTCACAGATGATTTTAATTCAATATATATAATTTATCCTTCATTTATTCACTGTTCTCATGATTTGTTGCACTCTGTGCTATTATTTCCATTGTGATGTCATGATTCATCAATGTAGCTTCACATCTGTTAAACAAATCAAAGCCGTATATCATTGCCTCCAGTGGGCTACTTGCTTTTAAACACCTGCAAATACTTAGAAAGAGCTGAACATTAATCCTCAAATATTAATTGTACATTGTGCACTAAGAATGCATTTACTAATTAATGTGAGCACCGACAGTTTCTATTAATTCAGAGAGCTGCCTTTTCTTTCATACTCAGACACATTAGTTATCTTTGCTCTCTGAAGCTATAAAATGCATCTCAATGAATGAATTGAATTGAATTAAAATGGATGAACATTAACAAATAAACACAAAATACTGTAACATCGTTCTTACTACTGTATATGCTGTAGGGCTATGTTAAAGGACGTAACATATGTTTAGCACTGTGATAGATTCTTAGAAATTAAACATTAAAAGCTAAATGTGCACATCAGACCAAATCAGAAATATTATTTCAGAATTCATTTATTTTAAATTAATCCATATAAACTATTGGAAGTTAGCCACATAGGCTAAGCTAGCCACACCTTGGTAAAAAACCTATTATAGGAAAAGTTTCCAGAGGTACATTTTAAAAGCTTTCCGAGGAAAATCTGGATTTTTTACAAAATTAAAACAAATCCCATATACAAACTAAAAAAATAGTAAGTAAATGATTCATGACGTGTACAGTATAAATGCAACAAATAATATTTTCCAAGACATCTATGTCTATAGTTTTTGACAGATTCACAAAACTGGCTGAATCAGTGGATCCCAGCAAAAATAGACAAGAACAAGCTGCTTCAGAAAGAGAAGATTCTGGACTGCATGTCGATCTGTTCAGAGCTGGCAATCGTGCACTCCATTCTCCTAACAGAACAGCCCATTCGAATGAGACGTCTTTGCCAAGAGTGAACTAACTGTGGGTTTTTGAATGGGTTGGGTGTGTCTCATGCGTTTGTCAAAGTAGGGGCCTTTGCACAAAAAGAATAAAAAAGAGCCACTTTCATACAACACCAAAGTGTCAAAAGCTTTAAAAATCTATGCTTTGCTTCTAATGTTGCTTTTACTTACAGTGCTTAATGTGGGACCTGTGTTGCTGTTAGAAATAGAACAACCTCTTAAAGGAGACATGCAACAGTAGTACAGTACTGGTAGACTTGTGACTAACGTCTGTAAACAAAGAGGTCTGTATTTAAATAAATTGTTCACATTTACACAGCTCTGGAAGAAAACAAAGGACTTTCTGTTTGCTCAGCCAGCATAGATCTCAGTTATTATCTCATCTTATTTACATACTGTACATAAAACAGCAACGGCTTGGTGTCCAAGATATAACAGAGGAACTGTGGCAGGCCTGACTTAATAATCTGGTGCCAAACTATGGATAAATATTTTGTTGTTTCCCCTCTTCTGTTGAATATGCCACTACAACCAATAAAGCAGGGCTCTCAAGCTCAGTACTTGAAGGGCACTGGTGTCTTCAGCAGTCGGTCACGGAGTCTGATCACTTCATTACTGCATCGTTTCAATGTCTAATTTAATCAGGCACAAAGGTGTTAAATAGGTAACTGCACCGGTTATGAAATGAATGGTTTTGAGCAATTAACTGTAAAAGACATTAAAAAATCCTCAATATGTATAACTGCTCTTCCAGGGCCCGTCTCTCCATAGCGAAACATGCATTTTCATCAACTCAGGGAAAAGAATCGACCGAAGGGCTGACATGAACACACGGCAGGGGAGAACACGTGTGCCAGCCTCCTCAGATTTCTTTGAGATTTTGTACATGGCAAGCCAGAAGGATCCAGACAACCTCCGGCCATGGACAACACGCCACCATAAACGTGATCACAGCAATTAAAAAGTGAAGATGAGGTTTTAAAGATCATACAGATTTCAAATATGAAGGGGTATGTAACCTCTAAAATATTTTGTGAATATACAATGGTCTGACTATGTAAAGATGTAACTGTGATTTATATTGTGGTTAGTCTTCAGCCTGACTGGGAAACAAAGGGAGTCAATAAAGTCACTACCACATATAGGACTTGACTAGTTTATTATACTATTACAGATACCAATTGAAAACTCAAAATGGAAAACAAGAAGAAAAAAAGAAATGTATTGATTATTAATTGCTAAGGTAAGATAGACATCGAGAATGTCTGGCGCTAACTGTGAAGCCTGGGCCTGATGCACAGCAGTAGAAGGAGATTACAGGGGCTGTCCCTGCTGCAGTGTGCCGAACCTGATGTGCACCTGGAGGGCTCCCTCTGGTGGCAGCCCGCCTACAGGAAGACGTGCTCCATCAGCTTGGCATCCTCGGAGTCAGGAGACAGCAGCACCGCCCCAGCCTGGGCTGACAGGATCTCAGTGATGTCCTGGGCCAGCTGAGTGTGGCTGGTTTCTCGGCACCTGTCTGCTATCTCACTCCATTCCTCGGGGGTGCAGAACACATCTTCCAGAATCATCTGCTCAAAGACGTCTTCAGTGTCACAGCAAAAAAACAAGGAAGGGACAAAGAAGGCTCAGCACAGGCCTTCTGTTATGAGCACGCAAGCACACAGTACATTAAAGTAAAAAGACAGTGTGTTTCGAAGTCACAAACATGTGCAATTTATCAATCTTCCTGATCTTTCACATTTGCGTTGTTTATCTGAAGAGACATGCTAGAACACTCCACACTCTCCATCTTCTTGTCTTTTCCTCCCCACACTGTCACTAGAACTGCTTTATACTTCATTCATTGAAAAAGCAGCTTCTCTGCAATTAGGTGTGAAACTGATTGCAAGCAATTACTTAACTCACTTTCCTGTGCCTAATTACTAAAAAGACTAAAAGGATAAACCCCTGCACCGGTAATTAAAATCATATCATGAATAATGAATGCCCTTCTAAAAACTGCACAGTTAAAAATGCATGAACAGAAATAACATAACAAAAAACAAATGAGCACCAAAGAACAAGTTTGCAAAATGTTTATAAAAATCCACTTTATTTTTGTACTTTCGCATCTCTGGTGCTCCTGCACATATATATATATAATACAGATGGGAGAAAAGAGCTGAGTCACTCACCTCTCCCACAGGAGTGTACCCTCTCCAGCAGCTGGAAGGCGAAGGCCTTGTTGTCAGTGGAGAGGAGGGAGAGGGCAGCGAAGCCCAGGGACAGGACTGCCGGCCTGCCGCAGTACTCCTGAGTCAGAGACCGGAGGAGGTCTGCACTGGGACACTTCCTCAGCAGGTACAGGCAGTCATCTGGACCGGAGGAGAGAGGGGGCTTGTCCAGGTTATCTCTGCATATCTTTCCCTTCTGCGCCTCGACAGTGAAATCTTATCAGGACTGTTCACAACAGCTCTGGGTGTTTGAATATGAATGTTTTGTGCCTTGCACACTTTTGCGATTTGGAACCTGTCATCACACTGGGAGGTTCACACAGTTGTGTCACGCCTTCATCACAACACAATCATCACCCCCTGGATAACACAACAAGTGTTTCGTGTAAGATGCTAATCGCACATGTGATTTTTGTTTGTTTTTTTTCGTCTGGCTCAGGACTCCCACATCCCGGACACAAATTATTTACCGGAATCTCCTTAATGTAGATTCTACTGGCATCATTTACTAAGATCAAAGAAATCAAACTGAAGCCATTAGGTTCAGAAGCACTTGGACTCCTTCAATATGCAGTGTAAAGGAGATCCATGCTACACAGAGCATTGCTTTTTGTAAGCAATATTTAGAAGAGTGGCCGGGTTTCTCACCATCATTTAAAAGGCCCCCTTACTGTTCTGCATTCACTAGACACAGAGCTCTGAACAGAATGAGGGCAACTCCAAAATATAAAATAATCTATGATATACATCAACCTTAATAGAGACACACTGAACTGTATTTTTACAGGAGAGTGAATTGAGGACAACCTGAGACTCCCTTACACAGCAGGGCACTTACTGGAGCAGTCTGAGCAATGTGTCCTTTTGATCCCACCACCCTGATATCTTCTCATTACCCTACAAGAACACTTTTCCTGCAGTTTGTATCCCGCAATGGTGCATACTGTATAATCACAAGCACAGAAGGACACCACAGCATCCTAATACAGGCAACAAAAACACACCTGAACTGTTTAGTCCTCAACAAGATACCGAATGGGTGGAAAATATTTTAGTGTGTGTCGCAGTTAATCAACTTCAGTAATAGATAACACTCAGAATGATTAAGAACTGCGATTTTTGACTTTCAGAAAAGAATATGGGTGATTCCAATGTTAATGTGGACATAGGAACATTTCAGCCCAAAGCATAGAGCTTTTTTCTTTAAACTACAAAGTAAATCACTCATGATAACAAAACATGTGTCTGGCACTCAAAAGCATTAAGCTATGAGAATCTAACTGATAACAGGAGGCCTAGCCCTGCACACAGCACATCTTGGGTACAGAACAGATGGACACTGTAATCCGGGATCAATACAGGCCCCTTTTACTAGAGTCAAAATCATTATGATCAGTAGGGTGATGCTCAACAGAACCTCGAGTCTGACCATCCCAGTCTCTTTATCTCCCATTTAATCAGAGACAGGATACAGGGTATTGTACTGAACTAATAAACAGAGCCTTAGTAGCACCTAATATACTGAACATTTTAATATATTGCATGTAAATGTTGGGCCTGTAAAGATTAAGTTATGAACAGTCATAAAAACCAGGAGTTTAGAGCTCTTAATATATAGCATGACCATAATGCAATACACTTTAATTTTGAATAGACTGCTGAATATTCATGCAATACCCCCAGGGACCTTATCCATGAGTGTACCGTCTGCCCTCTATATAAATGCTGCACAGATTCATGGACAATACTGCCAGACTCTTTCAGACTTTTTGCCATTTCTCTTCCACATAAACAGGAGGGAAAGCCACACACCAGGCAGAAGGCTAGTCTGGTGAGAGAGCCTTACCCAGAGTGAAGCTCTTGCAGTGGCAGATGAACTCCATGGCCCCGCTGATCATGCCCCTCTGACACATGCACAAGGCGGCCTTCCGGCTGATGCCACACGCGTGGTACACCACCTGGGCCAGTGCCAGGCACTTGTCAGACATCTGGGGCTTCCTCTCCCCATATTCGCGGATGACATCTCCCATCTCCTCGCAAGACGTCAGCCTGAGGAACGGGAAGAGCACAGCAGTCACGCTTCAGGCTCTTCCTCGCCTCTGGAACCTCAGCCAGGAGAGCACAGCCAAGTTCATGTCTTTACTTTTGTTCCTTACATTTGAAATAAAATGTCTTTTATTCATTACGATTTTTATAACCATCGCTCCCAGTGAAGCGCTGACCAGATTTTGTTTTAGGACAAATAAAATGAAGGCGACAGCAGCGTTCACAAGGGATTTTGGGAGGAGCTGTCTCATCATTCCTGCCTTGCGCCTGTTGATTGCTGGGATTGACTCCTGCTCCCCCACTATGCTGTATTGGATAAATCAGTTAGAAAACAGATGGACGGACGTCTCATTATTCTAAACTCTAAAGCTTTGACAGTGAGAATACAAGCAAAAGTGTGACTTACACATAGTTCTTCACCTACAAAGTAGCAAATGTAGGATGATAATATGGGGGTAGCAAAAGTGACTTCCTACCATTTTTACAGCTGAACGAAAAATATACGAAGTGGTTAAAACCGCTACATTGGGAATCTTTTGTAAGTGCCTTAGATGTGCAATATATTTTGGCAGCTGGAAAGGAAGAAAAGCACCATCGTCTGTAAGATTCCTCAAAGCATTGTTTGAATCTTTAGTCCATAACGCCATAAAATAGTAATTAATCGAAAACTGCTTGTATAATGCTTCCTCAAGATAAGATGCATTTGGGTGTTTAACAGTAGGATTGAATGGGTTTCGAACTCCAGAGATCATGTGGGCCTTCAGTGATTTATTGAAGCAACACTGCCCCCTTTAGGGGAGATTTCAAATGGCTTGTTCCAGATTTTCAATCAAAAGATTATTGAATGAGCAGCTTTACGAAAATAGACGGATGAATTAAGCGCATAATCTTCACCACTTTGCATATCTAATATTTCACTTTCATCTAAATTAAATTTTAATTTACAAAGGCAAAAGGCAGATTAGGAACACTTAATAGTCAATAAATTAATGATGCTAAGCAAAAACCTCCTTCTTTTATGTAAGGAAGATTGCCCAGTTACGTCTCCTTCTGTCAATGCTCCATATAGAGCAACAGTCGTGCTCTTTTGATCTGTGAAGGTTTGGTTATTGCAGTGCTGTACTTGTTGTGTTGCCACAGAACACCTTACAGAAACTTCTGGTTGCTCCAAACTCAGCTGCTAGAGTTCTGTCTAGACATGCTTTCTGGTGCACATACAGTATAACCACTGTCCTGACATCCCTGCTCTGGCTTCCTGCTGAATACTGGATATCGTCTTCTAAAGCCATGAAGCAATATCTCCCTTTCCATTCCTGACCTCCTGATGAACTGCGATCCTAAATTTAGGGTTTTTTTTGTACAGGACTTTGAGATATTATTTTATGAGAGGTGCTTTATAGAATATAGTACTATTACATGATATTTGACATTGTGTCAAGTGTTTTGCTGTTTTCTGAACAACTACCAAAACGTGCTGCCTTCTCTTAGGTAAACAAAAGATACTTTTTCATTCAAAGAATAAACTTTACTAGTTTGCGAGGAGAACATGATTGGTCCTTACAATGGGAAATTTGGCCAGGACGCCGGGGTTAAACCCCAACCCTTTTTGAGAAACACCCTGGGATTTTTAATGACCACAGAGAGTCAGGACCTCAGTCTTACATCTCATCTGAAAGGACAGCACCTGTTTATAGTATAGTGTCCCCGTCACTATACTGGGGCATTAGGACCCACATGGACCGCAGGGTGAGCGCCCCCTGCTGGCCCCACAAATACCTCTTCCAGCAGAAGCCTTAGTTTTTCCAGGAGGTCTCCCATCCAGGTACTGGCCAGGCTCACACCTGCTGAGCTACAGTAGGTTACCAGTTGTGAGTTGCAGAGTTATATGACTGCTAGTTAGAAAACAAACTTACAGGAGTTAAATTTGGCCCCTAAACTTGACTTCAGGTGATCCTGGGTTCATCTATGCCACTTTTTGCCTTTCATTTTGAGGGCATATTTAAAAAGGGATGGAGTCTGTTGCAATTCATAATTGTGAAGAAACCAATAAATAAATTGCCTGTTTTTAATGGACCAATCGGCTTTTATGTAACGAATAAGTGGAGCTTAATTCTGTGCTGAGAGGTGGAAAGAACTAACATGTTTCAGCTTCTTAAAACACAAAAGCTGAATCGTGTCGCTTTCTGTGCAGCCCGACTCCTTAAATGCATCGTGCTGGCGGCTCTGCCCAGTGCCTCACCGGCGCTGGGTGATCCAGTGCGTCACCAGCTCCACGCGGCCGTGCTGCAGGGCGACCTTCACCGCCTCCAGGGACATGGCCGCCTCGGGGGGCTTCCTGGCGGCGCCGGCGGAGATCGTCAGCGCTTGGAAGAACAGCAGGAGAGGGGGGAGCTCTCCCTGGTACACGCTGACCGCTGCAGGGAGCACACAGCACGGGCGCAGGTTTATCACACCACGCAGGCAGCGCAACAGTGCCAATGGGCTGGGCTTACGCTTGCGTCCAAGTCGGGAGCTGCATCAGCCTCAGTAGGCTGCCAAGCAACAAGTAAAGGTTTATTCCATGCCGAAAAGAAAAGACACACAACGTTTCGGCTGTGCAGACTTCTTCTTCGTTTTCTCCCTCAAACAACAGATGAATAATAATAATTCCTTACACTTATATAGCACTTTTCTGCAAGGCTGGATTTTGGTGTTCGTAGGCCCGAGGCACTTTCACTCTGAAGTGTGCAAGAGGGGTAAACACCAACTGAAAGACGTCGATTGGCATGATGGACTTTAAACTATTCTAAAGCTGAACCACGTGATTGATGGAGGGGAGTCGAGCCACCATCACTCCGATACTTCCAGTTTCTAGAACAGCTGCTAGATAGTGTATGATTATTGATTTGGAGCACCTAGATCGATAGCAAGCATCTTATTTCAGCTTGTTTTTTGTTAGTCACTGGTGTTTCCCTCCTTCGTAGGCCTTAAACATTTTGTAGGCCCTAGGAACAGTGCCTACAGTGCCTAATGGGAAATCCAGGCGCTTGACCTGTAATGGGGATCCCCTCCACCACCACCAGCGTGCAGCCCCACCTGGATGATGCGGCGGCAGCCATAGTGCACCAAAGTACTCTTTCGGACAACCAGATCAAAGAAGCAAAGGGATTTATACAGCTAACAGCTCCACATCGTCTTCCCGCATCTGAAGGAGGCTCCACACCCGAAAAGTTGTGTCACTTTCATCCAGAGCTATGTTTGCAGCTGGGTATTTTATTGGAGGAATTCAGATGAAGTAGCTTGCCCAGGGGCACAACAGCAGCGCCTCAGCTTTGATTTGTCCCCCAGTCTTCTTAAGTTCAGAACTCCCAATCACTGCTCCACACTGCAGCCTTTTTACTTTGACAGACTCTGCTTCATGGAGCAGAGGTGAGCTAAGCAGACAGGACAGTGGTGGTTGAATTCAGTCCCAAAGGGATCACATAACACAGCAACAGAGGGCAGGAGGTGAACATCTAACAGGTTTGCGATCAGTCTGCTTGGTGCGAATGGGCTGTTTTTTAATCACATTTGCCAGAATGAGGCTTTGCAGTGTGGAACGCCTTTCATCCTGCTGTATGTATTTATATGTGGGTTGCAATGTTGAGCTTGATCACAGAAATATGTGAATCTTAGTATGAAAATCCACTCATCATCAGTAAGGGGCTTAAGCAGGAGAGTGTTGTTTGAAGCTAAAGTCTGTCCCAGAAATACAGGGCACTGAGGCTGGACTGAGATCACACTACTGCACTCCTCCTGGGTGGGACTGATGTCCATCACAGGATAACAGAGAGAAGGAGAGGCTAAGGCAGCCAGCATGTCTCCAAGATAAAACCCACTAGGCAAACATGCAAACTCCACACAGACAGCAGACTGGAAACCTTAACAATGTTTAAGGGTGCTTACCTTTAAACTTCTCCATGGTCTCCATGTTCCTCAGCACTCCATAAGGGGACTTAGCTGCATGAAAAGCAGCTGCTTCGTATTTACCCGCCTCGAAGAGCTCTATGAACCTGCCAGGGAAAAACACCACCCTGTCTCACTGGAAGAACTGACGAGGGGCCACTGTGAGCTGATAAAAGACCAACGATGTAAGGTAAACAGTCATAAAAAGAAAGAATATCCATTCATTTTATAACAGCTTCTTCCAGTTTGGGCTTGTGGAGGAGCTGGAGCCTATCCCTCTAAGGTTGCTGCTGGAAGAGGTGTTAGTGGGGCCAGCAGGGGGTGCTCACCCTGCAGTCAATGTGGGTCCTAATGCCCCAG